TTTATTTAAACAAATATTTACTTACTATAATGAACAATACATATATAATTTAATATTTAAAATGAAATATAATATTATAAATGTTTTTTTATAATTACAGTTATTTAAATGAATTAATCTTTAATATGTAATTTTAAATTTTTACATAAACTGAAAAAATATACTAAATTATGTTAATTACACCATATATAAAACTATATTCATTATATTAGACATTAGATTTCAATAAATGTATAAGAAATCTATCATTGCTGTGGAGCTGTCAGGTCTTTATATATCAAATCCAAAAACAAACAAACCAACAAAAACTGAATCTATCATTGTTGATAAATGAATCATCCACGTAGCCTACAATCATCAAAAGTCAATGTACATTGTTCCTAAAAAACTCAGTCCAGATGTGCTCCATAATTGTGCATGATCTTCCAATCTTTTGGAACCATTTCATGCTATGTTCCCTGAGGGGCTTCACTGTACAGCTTCATCGGGTCTCAGGTTCCATAATGTGGAGTCTTTCCTCTGCTGCTCGAAATCCAATATCAAAATGTTCTCAGAGGGATCTCACACTCCCAACAAGCTACACAACAGGCCACAGTTCAGCTGTTTTCCTGTGTGCACAAACACAGTATGAAAGAGCACTGCAGCACTCCAAAAACCTGAGAATAATCCTTGCTCTCTGCTTCATCGGGTCTCAGGTTCCATAATGTGGAGTCTTTCCTCTGCTGCTCGAAATCCAATATCAAAATGTTCTCAGAGGGATCTCACACTCCCAACAAGCTACACAACAGGCCACAGTTCAGCTGTTTTCCTGTGTGCACAAACACAGTATGAAAGAGCACTGCAGCACTCCAAAAACCTGAGAATAATCCTTGCTCTCTAGCATCAGCAAACAACCGCTTCACTACAGTCTAAACATTGCTTTCATGAGGGAAACAACTCCCAGAGAAGATTACATGAGGTACATCATAAGGTACGGTGAGGAAAATGCTGCTTTTTGTAAACCACATATTCGGGGTGAAGTTTTAAGAAGTGGTGTTTTATTGTGAGCCAAACAGGGGAATCCAACATCCTCAATCGTGACCGCAAAACCAATGAAGCCAAGACTGACTGTACAACACAACTGAGTTACTGGCAGCAACAGTAATCCCAGTAATGCTCTTACCAGTCCAGCATAATTGAACAATGAAAGATGGCTTTATGGCACATACATTTAAGCAATCTGCACTGGTGGTTAATAAATAAAGAAGTATAGTAATCCTCTTAGGATATGACTGTCAACTTTTTGCACGCTCCCACTTTCGAATAACAATGAATAGGATTTGCACCTCATCCAGATTATTTCTAAATGGAATTATGCTCACTGTTTCACACAAGGTGATCTTAAAGACTCTCACACTTATCCCTTCAGCTTTCATCTGTCATACAGGTGTATCTGAATAGAGTTACATTTGTAATCTGTTTGTGAATGGATACATGGTTAATCAAAGAAAAATACTGCTCCAGCACTGTTGCTAATGCTATCATGTCAACATAATATCTATTTTCTTCTTATTCTTATTCATGAAACTCAAGCAAAATTAATCTCTGTGTAAAATATTCGGGATTTGTCGTACCGCATTGAATAGTTGATTTACAAATGATTTACACTGAAATTTGTCATGAATGAGGCCCAGTGTTTCTATTGACCGACCAGTAGACCTGGGTAATATATAATGAATTATTATATTATATGATCTGTGATATTCATATACTTTAAAACTCAACAGGAAAGATGCCAATAGAGTTCGGAAGTTCATTTCCCTAAATTGGTTATTTTGAACTGTCCACTATTTTTAATCAGTAAAAAGAAAGATTACTCGATTTATTTGCATCCTAACATTTAAAAATGTTATCAGAAGCCCAAGTGTGTCATTTTACATCCTTTAAAAGGTTTTAGTAAAATATATATGTACAGTAGGTAAATACTGATTATTACATAACCTTCAGGGAACGAGGGTTACCATACGTAACCGAGACGTTATGCTGGTACACATCCACAGAAATTATTATTTTTTTTATATATATATTGTCTTTACATGCCCTGAAAAGTTTTTTTCTGTATTTTATTCTTGCTTTGAACATTTTGAATGCTCTTAACAATAAAGACAGTTCAAAACAATTAAACCAAATGGTTCCTCTGATTAAATAAAATAATCTTATGATCCCATTTCAAAGCAAATACATAATTATTAAAATATACTCTACCATTGAAAAGTTTGGGGTTGGTAAGATGTTTTACATTTTTTTGAAAGAAGTCTCTTGTTATTTGAACAAAAACAGTACAACAGTAATATTGTGAAATATTATTACAATTTAAAATGACCATTTTCTATTTAAATATTTTTTAAAATGTAATTTACTTCTGTGATGGCAAGAAACATTTCTTATTATTATCGATGTTGTGCCGTTTAATATTTTTGTGGAAACAGACTTTTTTCTTCGATTAACAGAAAACATCTGAAGAAGACAAATGAAGGTCAGAAGGAAAAACCCTTCTACAATATGTAGTCTGCACATACACGTCATCATATTTCCTCTCTGTTCAATATTTTATAATAAGTGCACATTGCTAAAGGCACTGCTGCAATAAACACGGACAAAGAAAGGGTATCCCCTCATAGACCCCAATGAACTTTGATATCTGTGCCAAAGATATCGCAAACCCATCTTATCTAACCTGCTTTACCATGACAGTACGGACACACTGGGTCACCGCACATTGCAGGTGACAGTGGGTTTCCTAGACACACCCTAAAAACTCTGCTATTTCCCATGATGCTTGACGGCAGCATCTGTGGACCAGCAGCTAGAGGTGAGTGCTGACGCATTCAGACAGCAGGAGAGGGGACAGTGGAAGTCAGCCAGGTCTCCCTCCCTCCCTTCCTCCGCCTATGTGCTTTTCCAGGTTTTCTAGGCAAGCTACTCATCGAAAAACAGATTGACGATATAATAAACTAGTTTCAAATGCGTCAGAAACAGATGAGTATACTAACACAATGTCTTTATCAAGTTTTTAGTTTGTAAAGGCATTTGTCGATTTATTATAGCTTAGGTTAAGATTGAATTCCACTGACCTCAATCAAACTGAGTGCATTCTGGGAGACAGGATGTGACTTCATAAAGAGGATTAATATTAAGAGCAGAGCAGTTTCAGAGCTGATTGATTATTGGTCATTGACTGTGTGAATGACTGAATGAACAAATGAACAGAGTAAAGAAAAACTGTATTTTCTTATTGATTTTTTGAGGTAAAATTTTACAATAAGGTTGTGTTAACATACATAATGAATGTATTGAATTAATTATGAATATTTTTACAGCATTTATTAATCTTGGTTTATATATATAGAGAGAGAGAGAGAGAGGAGAGAGAGAGAGAGAGAGAGTACATCTAAATTTTTATTTATAAATTTTAAATTGTTTATATTTTATTATTTATATACTCTTTCATTAGCTCTTGTGAGCTCATAGCACATTAATGTTAACACACAATTGTTAAAAAAAAAAATATATATATATATATATATATATTAAGAATATATAGAATATATAATATACGTAGTTTGTGTAGACAATATTTTGCGTTAATTGTGTTAACTTTAACTCTATGTAGCTGTTTGTTTCCTCATGACTGAAGACAAATGCTAAAAGTTCTTGTTAGGCTTTTTCTAAAATGATACCTATGTCGCAGTCTAAAATATTTTTTAATCCCAAAAATGGTGGCAATAAAAATCCCTGGATGCATGCATTGAAGGATTGACAGATATGCGTTCTCTTGATCGCACCCTGATTCATTCACAAGAATTGAAAGGGATTTACAGTGTTTATATCCTGTCAGACAGACACGATCCTCTTCCTGCGCAACACTTAATTTCCCCAACATCTGAATGTGGTCAAATCTAGCATCAAATTATATAAAGTGCTTATATAAATCTACCACATTATTTTTTTTCCAGAAAGGATTACCAACCCTTTCTAAATTCAAAAACGCTTCATCATCCAATAGTATTTCTCTATCATTATGCAAAATAAATAAATCAATAAAAACAGAAAAAGCAAATAAGCGTGGGATGTTAGGCATAAAATGTCTGAGTAACATCATCTTGGGCCTTGAGGTATACAGCAGGCTTCGTCAGCACTGCAGGCCGCAGAAGCTGCAGCATATCTAATAGCACTGAATCAACAACCCACCAGACATCATTCAAGCATCAGGGCTGAGAACGTGTCTGCTCTGCTGTAACAATCTGTGTTCTCCAGCTTCAAACTATTTTATCTGAAAGACTGCTCAAAAATGTCACATTTTACTTATACATTGAATTTTCTCAGACAAACAGCCAGTCCAGTTGCAAACCAGAAAGTAAAATTGTAAAATCAATCAGATTCTTTTACAATCTAAGATGCATGGCAACTCATTAAGTTGCATATCGGACATCTGCAGTCCACCATCTATGAAAGACAGCAATTTCCTCCTCAATGCAAGTACGTATTACATACTAAAAAATCGAATAGATTGCTCAGTGATATCAATTGTTATACTAAGAAACATCCATTCTTTAATGAAAAAGCTGTGCCCCACCCTATGAAATAAATATGTTCAGCTAATTCATCTTTCCATTTATCAGGTCAAGGTCCCAATTGGTTCTTTCTCTCAGTCACACACACACACACACACACACACACACACAGGCGCGCACACATGTACACAAACGCACAAATATACACAGACAAACAATCATAAATATCATAAGCATCAGATCTGACCCCAGAATTGTTTTTTTGTATGTTCACAGTTTTTTTTTTTTTTTTGGCTGCAATAATAATAATAGGCATAATAATAATAATAATAATAATAATAATAATAGAAAACATAGGGAAAAAATGAGGTAGCCTACCCAAGGTTAATCTGAAACAAGTGCATAAAAATAAGAACAATAAATGTATCATCCGCATTCGGATCCTACCTCATCTCTCCAGACGCAATAAGACAATAAAGTCATCAATATTAATGGCGTTTTCTGCCCCATTCTTCTCCCTTTTCTTCTTAGTATTTAACTTTGCTGATTTCTTTGATTGTCTATTTTTAACTACTGTATTATCTCCAAAAGAAAAATCAACGGGTATGAACTGGTCTGCTACGGGATACGAGCTGGTCTGATCGGAGATATCTCCTGTGTCCGCAGATCTCAGTGTGAACTGACAAGCGGCTGCGGCTCCGCTCAGTAAAACCAAACCCTCCTCCGCTCGGGTTGCGCAGACGGTGGGCGTCCATTTGCTGATGAACGGCGCCCCCTGCTGGACATCTGTGGACAGGCACCATGGGCGCTTATGAGGAAAGAGGTTAAATGAAATCTGTGAAGAGACAATTATAAAAGCTCATACTTTTCAGCAATCTAAATGTCTCTCGGTGCATACATTTAATTATTTCTATAGATTTTACAGCCACTATATACAGATACACTGCGTTACTTTTACAGCCACCTGTTTATGTTTAAATGGTGTAGTTTCAGGATTGAGCCGCTAGAGGGAAGTCAAGATAAACGTTTACAACATGTACGCACGCGCTAACGTATAAAGGCCTATGTATGAATATTAAACTAACAGATTTTATGGCTGTATAACCTAGAAAGCTAATGAGACTAACTTTTGATTGTAATTTTTATAAGAGTCTGATGGATGAATGCATTTATAATATTACTGCCCTAGAAAAAGATTTTGACAAGGGGCATGTTGAGACAATTTGGGGGCCTTTATAGCCTACCTGTTGATTGTAACTGTAAAATCAACACGATTCATGAAACACGTCATGAAACAGCAAAAAAAATGTTTATATATATATATATATATATAACATACATTAGCATTTAAACAAATTTGACAACTTTAAAAAAAAAAAAAACATGGCAACTTGCATCGGCCCGCTATTTATATGACACAAAAACCTTTCAGGTATTTATTACACCTCTTGCCTGAATGCCTTTGTTCACTTGTTTAACTAACTGCAATATAAAAATATTAGTCTGGAGTTAAGAATTTACGAACAATTCTGAACAAGCTGTCTGTAAACTCTGCAGGACACCGGCCCTCCAGGACCGAGTTTGGACAGCCCTGTGCTAGACCCTTGTGACAGTGAGCTCTGTTTGTAAACGCCTTTGCGTTTGGTGACGGAAGTAGTTTTACCTTGTCATGCCCACTGAAACTACAGCGTCATTCTGAGCCCTCAGGTGAGAGAGATGAGAGAACGCCGCGGGATTTACTCCGTGAAACTCTGAACGGCCCGTCGAGGACTTTTCAATAGGACTATTTCATCCAAACTGCCTTTAAAAAAGCAGCGTCCGGACTGACTGATCGGCTCTTCAGGCGTGCGCTTTTCTTTTGTTTGGTAGCGAAACTAGTTTCCTGAAATAACATGAGTTCTGCCGTGTATGAACATGTAAGTGTCTTGTTTTTTTTTAAACAAAAAATTATCTGCACTTTAATTGAAATGGCGTATTTCCCCAGCTATGTTGTCAATTTCAATGTTCCTAATATTAAATCGGATACATTTAACCTGACCTAACGTATAGGCTGGATTCGTGTTAAAAATTGACCACACAACTTGAATAGGCTATGTGAATTTAAACCAATATCAAAGAGATGATTTGTGATGTTGCATCCCAGTAGCCCATTTTTTTAAAATTATTTTTTATTCATGTATTTTTTTTTCTCTCGCATTGACACCTGTTTGAGTCTCACGCTCTATAGGCTATTATCTGTTCTTATAGCCTAGTGGTGGGGCTTTTGATTCATCCCAGTGACTCGTTTGAAGAAATTCACCAAAAAGATTCGACAGGTGATCCTTTCCTCAGGTTACAGGCCATCGTTAAGCCTCAAAAGTAGAGAGACTTGAATCATGAACTAGTTCAGTTCAAGAGGTGAACGAGAATGATTTGTTCATTGAAAACTTTCACGTAAGAAGATTTCCTAACTCCGACGTCCTTGTCAGTGAAATGTTAGTGTTCAGAAACGCTACTTTAGCGTTTATTTTAGTGTCAATTTTAATGAAACAGACCGGATTCACCTTCAAACAAGTGCTTCTTGGTAAACCAGGTAGACGTAAGTCAGATACTGTATTAACCCTGTAAACCCTGTCATATGAAATAACTTTTTTTCCCAGACATTTCTTTTTTAAGTTTGCATATGTTTGTTATATGTCTGTCATATTTGATGCATCAGTCTTTTATGGTTCATGTAGTACATAAATTAATATAAATAACATTGTGTTCTTGTAGTAGGCCTACATAAAATAATAATTAATAACATTGTGAATATGGAGGACGGCAAAATACCTCAATTTTAACAGAAGCCCAATAGCAAAATTATGAAATTTGGTGCAGTTGCTGAACAAAAAAATTTATTAGCCAATGGCGATTCAATTGCCAAGGTGTCCGTAGAGGGCTGTATTGGTCCCAATAATATGTCTTAGTAAAATTATATTTAAATGCTTAGTTTTATTATCAAAGCTCTGTAGTTTTATTGTGGGGTCAAAACATACAATGCAACGTAATACAATTATGAGAGATGAACAAATAATCATTTCTCAAAAGAATGAGGTATACTATACTTAGATTTGAACAAGGTTTTTCCAAAAAATGATGTTTGGATAATGAAGTAAAAAATTGCTTCAGTCTAGTAAATGTCCGTCGTAAAATATTACCGAAAATATAAAAGTTATTCCTATGTTTACTTTATAGCAATCATTAAAAATTTCACAGCAAAAAAAGATGTGTGTACTATGACCTGACGGTGTCCAGACTTTTTAGTATTATACTAAAAGGGATTTACTTAATAAAAAAAGTATAAGCTATCAATCAGACGACAGAAGGCTGTAGTAGACACATACAACAGATTTTTTTAGCAAGGTTTTGATCATTTAGAAGACTGTATCAAATATGAGACTGTAGGCTTCATTGGGTGAATCCCTGACACTGGCAATTAGCATTCAGGCTATAATTTTTTGTGCTACCTGGAAATCAATCCCTTGACTACAATCAGACGACAGAAGGCTGTAGTAGACACATACAACAGATTTTTTTAGCAAGGTTTTGATCATTTAGAAGACTGTATCAAATATGATACTGTAGGCTTCATTGGGTGAATCCCTGACACTGGCAATTAGCATTCAGGCTATAATTTTTTGTGTTACCTGGAAATCAATCCCTTGACTGGTGTTGCTTGCATTATGCTTTCCAGTTGATTAGCAGTAAAGTAAGACAATCCTAACAGATACATCCCCAGAAGGGAAATTAAGGATTTGAGATCCATTTAGTGGCACAGCGTTAGTGTAATGTTGTCTCTCTCTCTTTGTGTGGTTGTGGTAAAGTGTAAATTCTTGTCATAATGTTGTTAATGAAGACACACCGGCTTTGGGCTTGGCTTTTTATGGCCTCTGTCCTCAGTTAAGGTGCAATGTTGAGGTCTGAGTCACATCCACAGTTTGCATGTTTTAGTTGTTATATGTCTGTGATGACAAAATACAGCAACACAATGCTTGTGGGAGCAAAAACAGAGAGATACACCCAGTTTTGAAACATTATATCATATAATCCACATTATTCATGTCTCGTTTTGGATCACTTTGTGTGCCAAGGTGTTGAGAAATCTAGATTACTGTGTGATATGTCATTTATGTCACCTATTTTCAAATCCCAAATAACACTAGTTTCTTAAAGCCAGTTATTTCCCTTGAGGTTCTTGCCTTCTCTAGTTAAGTAAAGACATAATGGATGTGTGTGTCCTATAAATAGGTTGGTAAGTAAGTAATCATTTCTTTGGCTATTCTCTCACTTGATGCATTGGCTTTTTGTATAGTTTAACCATGTCAACCAGCTACCAAAATATGTTGACTAGAATTTTAGACAGATGTAGCCATACATGATCAGGCATGAGTAAGACCGTTACTGCATTAGGGGGAGGTAATGTGTACAGATGGGCTCCGTTTCCTGCTAAACACAACTAGAATTCCAGGTATTTTGCAGTCTCTTCTGTTCCTCGGGCCGGTTTCAACTTGATAGCCAGAATCCTTAAATACTCACGGAGCACAACGAATGCATTTTGTCTTGTTTTCAGGCTGCTCCAGACAAGCTTATTTCAGTAACGGTAGGTTTTATAGGGGGAAAAAATATTTTATTTAATAATTGCATGCCTTTTTCATAAAATGTTTTTCAAAAGTAAGAATAAACACCATGTCATACTCCCGTACTTTATAGGCAAGAACAAAATTCCTGAGATTTCTTTCTTAGAAAATGCTTTTTAAAATAAACTGTGTGGTATTTTACCATTGTCGTTGGATTTCAGTGTATTTTGCAGGTGCAGGAGCCCATTTATGAACCATACCTTAAAGATCGGTATTTAATCTTTAGAAATGCAGTTGTTTGCAATGCAGCTGTTGGACAAACTTTGAGTCTTGTCTGCTTTCTGTTCAGCATCTTAGATTAATACAGCAGATTTTTTTTCTTTTGAAAGATTATGCTTTCTTTTGTGACCAATCATCAATGCCATTCATTTAGGTTGAATATGTAATGTTTTTTTGCTGTGATGTGGACTGATGATACTGAAGTAGACTGTGTTGTTTGGTACATTCTCAGCTATTCACAGCCGCTGTCTATACATGTGACTATCTGATCCTTTCTGATAAAAACAAATGAAAAGAATATAAATGTATTGCAGGATGGATTGGATTTCCTCTATTTTTGCTACACGGGCTGAAATCTGTGGTTTTAGGTGATGTTCAGACATGAATTCACACTTGGGCTAGATTTCAGCATTATAGAAGCATAAATAGCTTTAAGCTAAAATATGGTTCACTCCCTGGTTTATTGAAAGTTTCAGGCTTTGTGGTGTAAGAGGATTGTTCTATTGTGTGGCAAATGTTGGATACTTACTGACCCTGTGAAAAAGTTGAAGTTTTGTAGCTTAGTTCATGTATTAGCTTTAAGATTATCTAAAAGCTATTGCATTCCTGAAAGTTCACAAAATTTCATGCAATATGTAATATTCAAATATATTTACTAAAATAATTAAAATAATTACAGTCTTTAGATTTATTTGCAGTACCCAAAAATGAAAAAGGTCGTCATTATTTAATGGAAATCTTCCCTCCTCCATAACCTTCAAAATTCATTCATTTCTCTACATTAATGCATCATTTTTTTAAGTTTATGAAAATGTGAATGAAATGAGGCCTACAAAAAAAAAGAGGAGAAATTGCAGTGAATTAAAATTTTCTACTGTTTATTACACAGAACTATTGCTTGTCTCCAGAGGATATGGAATAAATCACAATTCAATGTCGTATGGACATTTATGGTGCGTAAGGAGATTATTTTTTGTCATTGTTGGCTCAGTTTACTATATACAATTAAACAAACAATAAATAATTTTATTTAAACAACAACAACCTCTGTTAGGCCTATTATTGACAGACTTATATTATAAAGATGTTTGGGAACCCAAATAACCTCTGGTCCATGTTGCCAGATAGACCAGTTCTTACATTCTGTATCATCTCAGTCGATCCAGTGTGACTGTTTCATTGCGCTCTCTTCTCATTCAGCACTGATTCATCTTCTCTCTGCTTGCAGTTTCAGATTTGTTAACTTGAGGTTATAGGTTGAGTGTGTTTTGTAACCTAGTTGGAGAGACATTTTGTCTGTGGTTTATTGAATGGGACCTTTGTGATAGTACAACTTATTTATAAGAAATGCTACACCAAGACTGAACACTGTTTTTATACTTCGTATTGCGCAATACTATTTTGTACAATCCCTAAAACTATTTTGGTATTCCTAAAGGTGTTTCATTATTTATGTGATGCTACAAGTCTTGGAGAAAGAGTTGTTGTTTTTGATTAGTTGAGTTGACTGACAAGTATTTAAAACTATTTTACGTAATATATTTATAATTACTATGAATGCTGTTTTTATGGCCTCATATTAATTGAGAGACTGTCTGGAATATTTCTTATTTGTTGTTGGTGACGTAAAAAAATAATTGCAGATTCAAGTATTTATCATTTGCAGGCCTAAAAACATCTTATCTGGAAAGCCATGTTTAGGGTACGATATCTCAAGAAATGATTGCTGGTCTCATTGGAATTTGTATAGACAAATGTATTCTCTTAAAGTCTGGATGTTTTAGAGTCTGTTCAGGATGCAGATACTTACATCCCTGTTAAGATGAAACATTTATAGATGTGGGTGATTAGGGCCTTCATTAACAGCCTTGACTGACTTTCTATTCATTTGAAATTCATTTTGTCATAAAATTATTGCTGTTCGCATGGACAAATATTACAACAAATAAATCTTGATACATCATGTTGCTGTTTTTTCAACACTTCCAGTTTATTTTTTGTTAGTTTCAGTTTATTTTCAACAGTTTCATAAATTATTA